AAAAAAAAAAAAAAAAAAAAAAAAAAAAGATTAAGTCAACTTAACACTTTGCGCAGCAGTTAGGGACTACTAGTTTAACTGTCAGTGAGTTCAGCCTGCGCCTTCACACATGGAGCTCTCCTCTGGGCCATCTCTGATCAAGAGTAGTAAGCAGCACCCATTGTGCTGACTGAGCTCTCAGTCGGCTCCTCTTCCATTGTCAGTGCTGAGGCTATAAAGTCAGCAGCTCCAGCGTTCAGTGTCCCCTCACTAATGACCACACTCGATTATGCCCCACTATGGTGAGAGCTGCGGGGCCCCCTTGCCCAGTCTGGGGCCACAGTATATGAACCCACAACAGCCCCTCCTAGGGAATGCAGGGGCAGACCCCAGCCCCACACACTGACCTGCCGGTGCTTGTCTAGGATGTTGCCAAATAGCCGGTAGGTGTCAGGAAAACCCTGGGAGCGGGCACACTCCCGCACGCTCACCACACGGTGCTGTTCTGGGTGGAGCACACGGCCCTGGAGGTGAGAGGTGTGGTGGGCAAAGAGGGGGACTTAGGCCCACTCAGAGGACGAATGAGAAAGGACACTGTGGAAGGGCCCAGCCTTGGCCTCAGCCCAAGAACCTGTCCCCCTGGACACAAGGGGAAGGGGGCAGATGTGCAGGCACTGCCATGTTGCCTCCATGCTACTCAGCCTGTGCTTCCACTTGCCCCCAAGCTTCAAGGCGCCAAGGCCTGACCCTAGGCCCCCAGATACCCATCTGTCCACCTACCTGCTTGCCCATGGGCTCGGGGTTAGTGACAGTTGTGCTGAAGAAGCCATCCCACTCAAGCCTTCCGTAGAGGCCAGCCCAGTGGTTGTGCCTGTTCCCGGTATGAGGCAGGCACCAGGGGATGAGGGTGTTGAACTGCCTGGCCACAGGGTCACAGGCTTTGCCAGCTAAAGAGAGAACGGGGATGAGGCTGTGGTTACGGAATGGGATCCCTGGAAGGGATGCTAGGAGGGCATATACCAGCTCTCAGAGCTTCAGGAGGCTGGCACAACACCCACTATGTGGGACCCTAGACAGGGACAAAGCAGCCAAGAGTTCCCATTCTGCTCTTATTTTACATTCTCTGCAGATACTTACTGGTTAAGTTAGGGCCTGGCCCTAGCCTCCAGCTAATAGGCAAAAACCTGAGTCCCTGCTACTGGGAAACCCCAGGAAACTCCATCTATTCCCAGCCCACCTTCCACACAGGAGCAGACCCCACGGAGGGCCCCAGAGCTGCTGCGACCATTCCTTCTGTCATGGTAGGTGTACCGAAGCTTCCTGGCCATGGTGCCATCTGAGAGCCGCACCTCGATGTTAGGCAGGTCACGCCAGTCTGAGCCTGGGGCCAGAGGGATATGCCGCATGCGGGCGGCCACCAACGCACTCATATCCTGAAACAGTAGGTGGACCCTACTGTCACATCACTCTAGGAGCACCTGAGAGTCCAAAGCCAGGCTGGGTAGTGGAAACAATATGGTGACCAGGAACCCCCATAGGGTTTATGTCCCTCACGGGAAGACAAACTCAGGGTGGTACACATGGTACCAGGGACATGAGCAGAGCAGGGGATGTGGCCGGCAGGGCAGGAAGGGGTAAAAGGCCAACTGAGAGTCAGCGTGTCATTGACCTCACACTGTGGAGTGAGGAGGGTTGGCTCTCAGAAGCGCCTAGAGGGCACTAAGGGCCAGACTTGGCACATTTGAGAACATGCAGAAGAGGAGGAGCCAGAGAGCTCTGAGCTAAGTCCAGAACAGCAGAAGCTCAGACTGCCATTTCAGGTGACTGACTGCCACCATGGAAGGGGGCTAAGGACTTAGAGCCAGCTACCAACTATGCCTTGGATTTGGGACTGTGAGCACAGAAAGATAGGAGCTGAGGTTACATGCTGGCAGAAGGGGCTCCATGGGGAAGGATGAGCAGCTCTGCTGGGGAGACATTACCTTGCAGATGTGGTCCCTGAGGATGGGCTGATACTGTGAGCCCCGGAGCTGCCTCTGAAACCAGGACTGAGGCTCCCCATTGTACAGAATCTCTAGCGCTGATGCCCCATTCCGGATTTCAGGCAGGTCAGACATGGTGTCACGCACTGTGATGGTCCGGAATGGACCTGAACTTAACCTGTGATAGTACAGACAGGGAGTCCCCTTGTCATGGGTGCTATTCCCTGACTGATGGCATTGCCCTCTCCAGCAGTCACTCTATGCTTGGACCCCATCTGCAAACTTACTGGGGGAGGGGGGTGGGAAATGACACAGGGTCAGAACTTAAGATTGGAGGTGGCAGAGTACTCATGTGGCAGGCCAGATACCACACTATCCCCTCCTCAGTTCAGGCTTCTTGACAGAGACCCCCAAACCCAGACCACCAGGTGATGCTCACATGCAACACTGTGACCCCCTGACATCTGCTCTGTGGCACTCGAGAGGAGCTGGCAGGGCCTCCTACCTGGTGATGTTACTGACAAACTTCTTGTCGTCCACCACAACACTCAGCTGGCAAGCCCGGGGTGCAAACACATGCAGTGGCTCTGGGAACAGCGGGAGCTTCTCCCCAGGGGCTGCAGCCAAGATGATGGCCCGCCTCCGAGTCTGGGCCACACCGTACTGGCCAGCCTGCACATGGTGGGACAGAGACACCCAAAGTTAGCGATGCACCCATAACTGGCCATACCCAGTGCCAGCAGCACCTAGCCAGCAGGTTGGTGCTTGACAAGAGGTAGGACCAGACTGAAGAACAAAAGCAGATGAGCCCACATAGGGGTGACTAGAGGAAAAGAGAGTGAATATGGCAGTGAATATAGCAGCGAGTCCGCCCAGGTCTTAAGAGAGTACTATAGGAGACCCCCAAGGCCTTAGCACTTGGAAGAAAGCAGCCAGGGGAGACCAAAGCCCTGCTGCCTGCCTGACATTCATAGTCACAAGGACACAGCTACAACAAAGGTTCACCTGGCAAGCCTGAGACACCCTGAGGAAGACTTGGGGAACTGGGCAACCCACATAGGCAGACACTCGCCTACTTCCAGGAATCAGCCCCACTGCCCCAGCTGGCTGGCTGTTTCACTTTCAGTTAGGTCCCAATCCCTGGGCAGAGTGTCCCACACTGTGATGATCCGGAATGGTTGAGGCCTTGTTCCCCTGACCACTCCATCCCCATAGACGCAACCACTGGTAGCCATCCAGAGGATAGCCCTCTGCCTCCCCTAAGGGTTTGTGGGCACAACCACCCAGCCAGAGGAAAATAACCTAACAGTCAGGCCTATGCGTGGTTCTGCTGACCTCACTTTGCCTCCCCAGTGCTCCATGGTGGGCCACCCACCCCTCCCCACTGAGAGAAAGAAGCTGGAACAAGTGGCAAGAACCCCTGTGCTCTGTGGGTACTGCAAGAACGTAGGCCAAAGAGACATGCTAGAGGGGTCTCTCTTCCCTGCCCCTGCCCACAGGGCCGGTTTACCACACTGGCCTCTGCTGCATCTTAGAACGCTATTTTCAGTTAGGGACAACTGATCCTGCCAATCCCTCCTGGCCACACCCACCCGCCCATGGCCACCCCCTCCTAACAGGGCCCACCTGCAGCACACCGAAGGTGCACTGATAGCCCATGCGGACCAGGCAGCAAAGTGTGAGCTTCAGGACCATGGAGCGCTTGAAGGAGACGAAGTTCCTGACATTCTCCAGGAGGAAGAACCGGGGCCGGTAGTAGTCACAGTAGCTAGTGGGGGTAGGGGGTTGGGTGGGGAGAAGGAGAGACTATGGGAGCCATCCCTGCCCACTGAGGGAAAAAACCCACTTCAAGAGAAGCCACTCTCAATGCTTCTTGATTCAGCAAGAGTTGAGCTGTGAAACTAGGGGTCACAGGGCACCTGGCAGGTGGCACAGCCAGCATTGCAGGCCTATCACCCTTGGCTGGGAGGTGACACCAAGGAGCTTCTACCCCATTTACCTGAGGAAGGAGACCACCAGGGAGTTTTTAAACTTGGAGTAGGTACGCGAGTTGAAGCGGTTCATGCCGCTGAAGCCTTGGCAGGGCGGCCCACCGCACAGCATCTCCACGTCTCCCTTCTGGGGCAGCCTCTGGCCCCGGGAGTTGGTTGCCTCACCAGCCATGACCAGCTTCAGTAGGACATTGCAGTCCTCCGTGAACACTGTGGAGCCAGGGTTATTCAACCGGAATGCCTGAGCCGCGGGGTCCCACATTTCAATGGCCCATAGTGTCTCAGAGACTCCTGGTGGGTGGAAGGACAAAGGTGTGCTTTCAACCCTTGTGAATGAGGCTCTTCACCCTTGTGAATGATTGTGACTAGGGCCAGAAAGGTCTCTCAGCTAGAGCCTGCTGGATCTAGTTTTACTTGTTTTTCTGTTCAACAGCAACACTTACCTGCCTGGTGGAATCCTTCTGACAGCCCTCCACAGCCCGAAAACACATCCAGGGTCCTCAGTTTGGGCAGCTTGATTTCTGTCTCAGGTTCACTCGGCTCACATGTTTGAGATTTAGGCTTGCCTTTCCCTGGAGGAGACAAGCCACAAATCAAACACAAATGTCACAGCTCTACCCTGTCGTTTCAAAGGCTTCACTAATAAAAATACAGCCTCATTGCTAGTCGTGAACAGCAAGGAATGAGGAAAAGGAACAAACTCCCGTTAAATGGTTTGAGGCATCCTCTGAGTTACGACTTGAAAAGCAGCCTCTGAATGATGACATACCTTTTCCCTTCCCTTTTCCTTTATTTCCAGGGCTCCGGGCATGGTTTGGAGGGTCTTCAAAGCTTTTGCTCTTTGCATTATAGGCCTGAGGAGAGTGTCATAATCATCTTTCAGAGAAAGGACTGGTCCCCTCTCTAACAGGGGCTACTTCAAAATTAGATAGTCACTTAATTTCTCCATAAGTAGGGTCACAACCAGTGAGCCATCAGGAAAAGTATTTTTACTGTACTAAAAACAAACAAAAAAGGAACGCTTTTTTTTTTATGAGACGGTCGAGTGCCGTGGCGTCACAGCTTACCGCAACCTCCAGCTCCTGGGCTTAGGTGATTCTCCTGCCTTAGCCTCCCGAGTAGCTGGGACTACAGGCACCTGCCACAATGCCCAGCTATTTTTGTTGTTGCAGTTTGACAGGGGCCGGGTTTGAACCTGCCACCCTCGATATAGGGGGCCAGCGCCCTACCCACTGAGCCATAGGCACAGCCCAGGAACAATATTCTATTTAAAAAAACCACTTTATCTGGTCAACACTGAAATTCCTGCTGTTACAGGCACTTGGGCTACTTGTTCTAAAAACAAGAAAAAGTGATACATGGAAACTATCTGATTGGGGCATTCATTCACACTGCAGCCTGGGAAAACGCTGACATGAGTCATTTTAAGATGAAAAAACACAGGCTCGGTGCCTGTGGCTCAAGTGGCTAAGGC